ATGCAGCTTCACAGACAGTTACGGATTTCTGACATTTTGAGCCAGTTACTTGCTCCACGAAGTTTACAGGTTTTTGGATGTGTATCTGCAGAGCCAAGATAACTCTTGGACAAACTGCAGGCCTTGTGGATGATATGAACACAGCAAACAGATGTGGTGGAAAGGAAACTGAGCTTCTAGCAATCTCAAAACTTGTCAGTAAGGCAAGTAAAAATGTTTACTAAGGGCCTGATAGGCTGAGGGAGCTGGGGTTGTTCAGCCTGGGGAAGAGAAGACTCCGGGGGGACCTTATCCCTGCCTGCAGTGCCTGAAGGGACCCACAGGGAGGCTGGGGAGGGACTTTGTACAAGATAGGACAAGGGGAAATGGATTTAAATTGAAGGAGAATAGGTTTAGATTGGATCTTAGGAAGAAATTTTTCAGTGTGAGGGAGTCAAGACTCTGGAACAGATTGCCCAGAGAGGCTGTGGCTGCCTCCTCCCTGGAGATGTTCAAGGCCAGGTTGGATGAGGCCATGAGCAACCTGGGCTGGTCAAGGGCGTCCCTGCCCATGGCAGGGGGTTGGACTAGATGATCTCTAAAAGGTCCCTTCCAATCTAGGCCAGTCTATGATTCTAAAGCTCTGAATCAGAATCTCCCTCTACCTCTTGGCCGTGTTGCTGTTTCACATGAGCACTGGCAGAGTTACTCCCAGAGGAGTTAATATCCCTCCATTCCCACGGAAGCCCTCACGTAATGGTTGAGCAACTCAAGCGAGCAAACCACAAGGAATAGAGTTACTCCCAGAGGAGTTAATATCCCTCCATTCCCACGGAAGCCCTCACGTAATGGTTGAGCAACTCAGGAATACAAACCACAAGGAATACAAACCACAAGGAATACAAACCACAAGGAATACAAACCAAAGGGAATACAAACCAAAGGGAATACAAACCAAAGGGAATACAAACCAGGACTGAAGAGGCAGCTGCTGCCCCAGGTACTCAGAAGCTAGTACCAAGTACCCACGTGCACGAGTAATGGAGCACCAGGATAAGCTCCCTCACGCTAGGAAAGCCAAAACGAGCTCATCTTCAGTCAAGGGGGCCACACCATCGCTGGGACCTCTCCGTTGACCAGTACAAGTAGAGGAAGAGCAAGCCCAGGGAAGGAAGGGAGCCCTGGTGGCCAGAAGAAGCAGCCTCACTTCCTGAGTGGCATCTCCACAGCTAGCGAGTAACCGCAAATTAAATATAGAGGCAGCCACTATACAAAAGGCTCTTCCTGAAAGGTTCCTCTGGCAGACACACTTTCACTTCAGCAGAGCACAAAGGCACAAGCCAAGGGTACCAGGCCCTCCTCCTCGTCAGGTAAAACAGATGCTCTAGCAGTCAACAAGGAGAGAGTAAATAAGCTCTTCGGGGAAAGAACAATCAAATCACCAAAATCATCGTTATGTGGGTCCCTGGGTGGGACAGCAGTAGGGTGCGATAGTGCACTTCCTTCCAAATAAATATCTACAGTGCTATAGAAAAGTGGGAAAAACATAGCAATTTATGATGCAAGTTGAAATTCCATAGAAAAAAATATGAAAAAACCCCCCTGCGGTATTCCAGCAGCTTTGTTTGAGCACTACAGGGTAACAGGTTTGAGATTCTAGGGAAAAGACAACTGCTAAGTATCAAAATCAGTTCAGACAAAAAGGAAATACTATTCTTCCCAATTGCAGGCAAACACAAGGAAACATCACTGCATCGATTTCTATCCAATTCGATACCGTGCTAGAAACTGAACAACTCCAAAGCTCAAATATCAGAGCAAATTTCAGGACAGAGCATGGTGTCTGAGGTCACCACAACCTACCTACTGAAGGAAACCTGCAAAAACAGTAACAACGAATTCTTGGATTACAATATATTTACAAAACAGACTCACTTGTGACTGGAACATAAACCACGACGCAGCTGTGTTTAAGAGTATGAAGGACTTCTTACAACACAGCCTATATTCATGACCTGGGCATGGAGTTATGAGGCAGAGACTAAAGCCAGTGACAGGAAGAGCAAATCTGAACTCCATTAACATTTAAAAATAATTCTCAGGGTTGCAAACAACATTTCTGTGATTAGACAGCAATCATTTCTTCATCTGTTTATTTTTGGAAGTCACCCAAGTTGAACAATTAAGCCAACAGGAACAAGAAGTAATTGTTGCATTGCATTTTGGTTCTGACTGCAATTTCTTTCTGTTAGTCTCTGCCCTTATTTATTACTCACGCATTCAGAAGCAACACGAGGCAATGACTACTGGGCAGGGCAGCAGAAATCTCCCAGTTATTGAACATATGTGTATATATATGTATAAGAAATCACTGAATGAAAATAAAGCTTCAAAGGTTCCACTATTTTTATATCATTTTAATTTACTGCAAGCAATTATTTTAAAAAGTTACTGAAAAAAGTTCCAATTTAAAATAGTACCTGCTCTTATTTACCATGACAAAATATCAACGGACAGAAAAAACAGATCAAAATAAATGCTTCTCTCTACCTAAAATTATACTCATGTACTTACAAATTGATATGCATATCTAGCAATAAAACATACACATACAGCATCAAATAAACTCCCAAATTACATTTACTATAGATGTGAAGTACAGTTTGATGCCAGGGAAATTTACATTTTTATCACAGTCAGCAATTGCTTTCACCTACACAGACTGCTCTTTTTGATTTTCTTCCTCAAACATCACTTACTCAAACAGAAATTCACAACTGTTCCACATATGCTTTTAAGTATTTCTTATTGAAATAAATTACAAAGAGCTAAACATTCAACTCAGTGTGAAAAATTAACCGACGTCCATAGTCGATTAGCTTGTACGGACTGTGGAACTTACCCAAACAAACCAGCAACTCAAGTCTTCTAAATCAATCTATTTCACTTTTTTGCATTAACAAAAGAAAAATAAACATGTTGTATTCTTTGTATCAGTAGGACTAGAGGAAAACTTTGCCTGTAATGCTTTAAAAAGAAGTATGGTAGTAATTACTTTTTAGATTTTGAACTACTAAAATTCAAGTGACTTTTGAACTATGCAACTGGGGAGTAAAGTCACCTATAATCCTACCTTTTGTAGGGACAAGGGTTTAGTAAACCTAAAGTGAGGAGCTGATCTTTTGGAGACTTTTTAAGGCACTCCTCTGGAATAAACACCAAATTTGCTACCATTTTATTCTAAAAAGAGAGTGGATCATTTTTCCATCACCATCCTTCTGCACTTGAACATGACTTATTGTACAATCACGACATAAATCTTACAGGAGCATTTTCAGGGAGCTCCACAGCTTCAGGGTTTCGATGTACTGACTGTATGTAACGTTTGGGGAATTCTCAATAACTACCAGCAAAAGACACTTTCAGTCACAGTTGTTGTATTCCCGTGAGTTAATATTAGACTGTGCTAGGGTAAGGGGAAAAAAATAAAGAAGATGTATCAAGATTCTTTAAAGCTTAACTGTTAGTAGCTTACTGCACCTCAAATCAAATATATTCTGCGCGTTACTTTCCAAAACCTTCAGAGACCCAAAGGAAGGAATTCTGGAAGCATATCAAGACATCCAAATTTAAGAGTCGAACACTTGTTACAGTCAGTGAAGGCCAGACTAACGCCCTCAAAGGCACCTGAAGTGTGATTCAGCTCATCATAAATTAGGGCAACTAATTGCTCTCTAAGCCCTCCTGACAGTACTGATGAGCTCTTCAAAGGAGCGCACCAGAGTTCAGGAGGTACAAGTGCCTGCTGACACACCACACGGCAGCTGAACCTGAGGGGAGAAATTCTGTGCTCAGTTTCCTAGCTGCTGCAAAGAAAAAAAACTGAACTACAGCTCAGTGCATGCAAAATATTTTTCTGAAACATTTTTCAATCTAGTAAGTGAAAACAAGAGGGGAGCAGGGGATTAATAAAAGCATTTCCTATTTGAAAAGGCATGCTAAACAGCTCCAAAAAAAGAACTAAGAGAGTCAAATAACTGCCTTTAACGCTTTGGAAGAATGAAAGCCTACCTTCTTTTAATTTCAAGGACTGAAGAAGCCTACCTGGTATTCCTGGGAAACCTTAAGAAAAGAGTGAAGCCCTAAAAAAAGCATAGGATATCAGAAGTGCTAAAAAAACAAACCAAGACCAAAAAAAAAATTATCAATAAAGAGAAAAAAAAACAGGTTTTGCTTTTCAACAAAATAGATACATCTCTCTGTGTTAGTATCTACCCTACCTTCTATCCTCAAGAGAAAGAGTAACACACACAATCCAGCCTCACCTTCCACGTAAGGATGTTAAAATCCCCCATGCTCACCTCAGAACTACTCCAGATGCGTTTGTTTCAAACCAGACTTCCTGTATTTATTACACACATATAGACTGGGTTTTGAAGGAAGCAGCAAATAACGATTTCAATGTTTTAACTTTAAAACTTTCCCATTTCAAACTGTCAGTGAAAGTTATGAGAAAGTTCAAGGCCAGCTGTTTCCACTTACAATTACCCGCCATGGACAACTCCCTTCTCCTCCTCTTCTCTCTGCTTTTTTGTACCACAACAATACACGTAAAAAACGTTTCCTTTCAGAAAATCTGCTATGTTCATGATCATATATCCCAGTTAAACAATTAAATTAATATACTGAGAAAGGTAAGACAAAAATACATTTAGTATAATATCCTAAAGTAATGAAAATACGACGTATAGCTCCAGTATCTACAGACTGTGATGATTATTATCATTATTATTATTACTTAGCTATCAGTAGACCATGTCCTGTCCTGCAGTTGCTTAATTTTTCCTTACTGAATTTGAAGATGGATGTTCCACCACGAAAAAGGATCCGCGTAGTACTATAAAAAAAATTACCTGCCAGAGATCAAAGGCTTTGTCCTTCTTCTAAGAAAGCAAGTCAAAATTTTATTAAAAGCAAAGCATACGCTTTCCTCACACAGTAGGAATGAAGGGTTGTATTACCTTCATGCACTGTTATTCCACAGTTGTCACACTGGATTATTTCATCAGCATCTTCACTGTTATCTCCAAGACAAACGCAACAAATCAAAATATGGTCCATTTTCTGGGAACTCCAATTCTGAGACTTCTCAAGGATCAATGAGTCCTAATATTGAAAAATGAAGATACATGGATTATGCCAGGAACTTCAATTTTATCTAAAAGAATCAAAAGATCTGTTAGGTGCTCAATTTTTGAACAATAGACCCCAAAACATGAAAATTATTTTCACTAGATTAAAAGCTTCTTTGTTGTCAACACATTGAAACACATTCAATAAGATCCAAAGAAAAACAAGGATTTTATTTCCTCAGACAGAAATAGGTATCTTTAACCAATTTATGTTCTATGAAAAAGCACAAACGCTTATGAAATGATTTAAAAGAAAAAAAAAAAACTGGGACAACATCAAGGCCAAAGGTGACCTTCAAATGTCCCAATACTCAGAAAAGTTGCTTCATTTTGTTGAAATTTGCACCTTCCAGAAAAAAAGTCACATGGATCTGAAAAATCTGACAATGAACAGCTAACACAAGCCTGCTCCTTAGTAAAATGTAACACATTATTCAGTTCTATTTTGTAATGAAATTTTTTACGTCTCCATGCAAAACCATATGATTTATTAAAGCTACAACTTATTTTCTTCGGATTATATGCAGAAGTAAGGATTTGCAGACAAGTACATTAAGGAAACACAGGTTAAGTGTTTCACAAACCAAATAAAGCTGTATGTAAATAGCAATTTTTTCATAAACACCATCTAGGCTTCTTATTATTTTCATTGTGGGATACAGCCACTGTCTCTTCTGCCAAGTTTCACAGCTTTCACACATTTATTTTTACATTAAAAGCAAACACTGAGCTTGAACTACCTTCGGTGGTGATACGAAGGCATATAGGTAAGTGCAAAATTAGGCACAGAAGTAAAAAATAATCATTGTTGTATAAAGAAACCGTAATAATTTCAGAACAGAGCTGACAGTACAAGCCTAAATGGCATCCCTTCAAGACAGCAGAGATCCTGAGGCTATTCCAAAACTGTTGGTATTCTACCAGGGGGAAAAAATAAATAAGGTGGAAGATGAACTCTCTCATTCTAATCCCCTATTTATGGCATAAAACACAGCACCAATACTGTGCCTGCGTAGCCTAAGAAAATAAAAAGTATCATCAATTCTACCTGCAGCAGGTATTCTACCTCAAAGATCTGAAGTTCTTACACTAATCAATGCAATTATTTCATGAACTTATTATGTTTTTGACCTAGGAAAGGTCAAATATGTATTTGTGGCAGTTAGGAAAGGCTTCTGGACCTCCCATCCATTTTCTCTAAACAACATAAGGAAACATGACCTATAGAAAAACTAAACAACCCCATCTACGAGTAAAAATGAATGATACAACTCCTCAATCATACAAACATTCACCGCTTGCTTCCAGGAAGGCAATTAACTGTGAAAAACAAAAGATTCTCCGCTATAGAACGCAGACTCACGGAGACTTTCTTCCAGCATCCTCCTCCTAAGACAAAGTTGCAAAGCATTTTGATAAAAGCAGGAAACTTTTTACAAAAAATATCACTCAAAATACCCACACGGAGTTCATAATTTCCATGGGTGATAGGAAAACAGCAACAGATCCTTCCTAATCATTTTTTTCAAAAAAATATTGTGGCCCATCATCACTCAGAATATCCACGTGTAGTTCACCACTTACATCTTTAATAGAAAAATGGAAATAGATCCTCCAATAGAAAAATGGCCATAGATCCTCCAGTAGAAAAATGGTCAAAGAACCCCCTTTGGCAGATTAATTGTGCACTGACACAGGCTTCTTGGACTTATCTCTCAACTCTACAGAAACCACCTTTTTCTGAGACTATCTTTGACTTAACTGTTATTTGGCTTCGCTACCAGAAATTTAAATGAAATTTGCAATCTCTACTGTTAGAGAAGCCCGAGGTCTGGTAATTAAAAAGAAAAAGCAATGAACAAACAAACAATTACCTTAAATGAAACAAACAGAATTGCACTGTAACAACCAGACTGAAGCTGTTTAGACAGTGAGAACACCTGCAAACACTAGGGGGAAAAAAAAAAAGAGAATAACAAAGGTGGAAGGGCATCAAATTGCTGTCTAGTGTTAAGGTCCCCATCCATCACGGTTTACCTTATGTGAAGATGCCAACAGGTCAAACAGCAACTTAATTTTCCAGGCAGACAGGCAGCGAGAGCGATGGGGAACACGCTGCTCTCCTCTGCTTAGTCCACATAAGCACCTGAAAGACCCCAAAGCTGACCCTACGTTTGCGAGCACGGGAGCGAGAGATGGGAAGTGCTGCCAACTCCTGAGCAAGCCCTGATCCCTAGACTCGGCTCAGAGCAAGGCTTTTTCACTGAATCACGACGTATTCCCCATTTCTGTGGCGTTCATCAAGAAAGCGAGCGTATTTCGAGATTTATGCCCATATGCTCCTAACTTTAAAGGAATTACAAAATAAATTAAAAAAAAATAACTACCCTGCTGAGGAAAAAATCCCATAAAGTGACAGCAATTATAAAAATAGAAAAGCACCATTTGTCTACTACCGATGCTCGACCCTAAAAGAGAAAGCCAAGTTTGTATTCTGTGCTTAATACAGTAGAAAAGCACACAGTCCTTCATCAGAGCGCAGATTAAAACATGCAGACCTAAAAATATTGGGGTTTAAATGTAGAAAAATTAAAAAAAAAAAAAAACCACCCCCAACACCCATCTTCAAAGGAAAAAGGCAGTAAAATATGTTCACAGTTAATTACTTAAACATTTTTTCATACATTAATAATGCCTTCAGACATCTGGTTTTCTAAGAACTCAGCTTCTGCAGTGTAATTAGATTCTGTTAGATTTGTCTGCTAGACAAGATTATTTTTATTTTTTTTACTATTTTAAAATATTAGTAGTGGAGAGTATACTGTTATAACACAGCTGAGTATCAGTCTAAAAATTACAGCCTATCATCCAGTCTACAGATACTCACTGCTGCAAGACTTGTTGAAAAACCATTCACAAACAGTTTTACCCGCTGCAAAGAGAAGTTATCAGTTACGAAATTCTAATTTGAGCTTCAAATTTTAAAATTTCGTTTTGATCCAAGTCCTAAATCCAAGGCAGGAGCAGAACCTGAGGTCCATGCTTTGCAAAAGATATGCATCGGAGACAGCTCTAGGCTTCTTAAACAGGCTTAACTTTTTCAGTTAACGGAATTTATGGAGATAATCAAAAATACATCCCGAGGAATGGAGACTCACATCTCCACTCTGATACGGGAACCACCACTGACAGAAAATCGCCTGGCTCTGTGTGAAGTTCTGACATCACTACTGGTAGAGCACTTTCAGCTTCTGAGCCAAAAGAATACAGGTAACTACGCTAGAATTACAAAGCCACGCTATGAAAAAAGTAAAAAAATCCCACGAATTATAGTGGTTTTCTTCAATCACAATTAGTACCAGTAATTAAAACAGTACAGGTCATTTGCAATCATATCTATATATAAAATACATAACAAAGTACCTGAAATGGGGACCACTGATCCTTTCAAACACTGTTTTGTTCCCTACTGTTTTATACATTAAAATAAAAGATGAAATGGAACAGCAGAACTTTAAATAGTATCATACCGCTATCATTTATCAAATGTTACGTTGACATTGTAATTATTTCCTGAACACTGAACATTTTACAGCAACTGTTTATACTTGGTGTCCTGCAGCAGCAAAATTTTGAACAAAGTCCACCATCTGACAACCTAATACCTTAATTTTTCCCCAGGCACAATCATCAAGGCAACTGCAATTGTGCATTGGAAAAAAAAAAAAAAGTTGCACTATTAAACACTTCTGATTGTAGAATGTGAAAATTACATATTTATTATAGTAATAGTTCCCAAATGTTTTAGTAGTGTAGGAAATTACTTAATCTGTGAGCATTAGAGGTAAACCCAACATAAATTATCATGATTATCCTATTTGATTTTAAACCCAGTGTGCATATTTCCTGACTTAGAATTCTTCTACCCGTGAACTCAGTGTTGACCCTTTGACTTTTGTCACAGAGAAGGGCTAGCACAATGAATAACCTATCATTTAGCTATTTTATGAATGTCACAGACCCTTTTAACTTTTAGAACATTACAGATAGGCAACACCTATGCTAAAAGAGAAGTCTTGTTCATTTTTCTACTTGCTTTAGAACTAATCCAATCCCCCTAAAGCCAAGAGAAGATTCTCTATTGACTTTAGTGGCATTAGACTGGCCCAATGGTCCAAGCAGGGTTATTTATGCTGCTTCGCTTATTCCTGTAAACACAATTCAAGCCAATCAGCTTAACTTTTCAAATGAACAGAACAGCTACTGGGGAGTAGCTTTCATTTGTCAACAGAGAGATTATAGAAAGTTGGTTGCACTACCTCATTACTCTTGCTTTGTGAAAGAGCCAGGCTATCATTTGTCAATTCCTCATCATCTGCATTATTCCTGTTAAGAACTTTACTCTTCTTCTTCTTGGATCCTCCATCACTAGCCGTGCTGCTATTATCTTCTTCATTACCTTCCTCATCGTTGTCATCCTCATCGCTTCCGCTCCCATCATCTTCGTCATCCTCGTTATCTCCATCGCTCCCCTCTTTTCGCAGGGCATTTTTTCCTTTTCTTTTCCCAGCAGTTGGCCGCCAGTCATTGTCATCTTCACTGTCGTAGTCATCCATATCATTCAGTTCTATCGAGACAAAATCCAGCAAAGGGCGGTTCCTGCGCAAATTCCATTTTTTTGGTTCATTTGTTTGCTCATCAGCCACAGCATCGGGTTCAGCTGCTTTCTCCTTCTTCTTTTTTGGCTTTTCTTCTTCATCTTCTTGCTCTTTCTTTTCGGTTTTAATTACCTCTTTGTCTGCTGTTGGCACTTCTTCTTCAGCGGAGCTTTTTGGCTGCTGCTCTTCTACTTTCTCTTCCGCCGGTTCCTCCTCCAAGATATTTTCTTCTGATTCAGTGCAGGAACCTTCACCACTGTCCTTTGATGCATCTTCACTCCCATGACCACTTCCTTCAGAATCTGTTGAGCACATGAAAATTTAAAAAAAAGGTTCCGACACAAACGTACCCCCAAAAAATAAAATCTGTTGAAGCAAGTTGTTAAACAAAAGAATGATGCATGTTCCTCCCACATAAGGTATTCCACCTATTTTTTCAGCTGGTGTCCAAACACTGCTATTTCGAGTGGTATGTCGAGACTCTGTTAAACATGAGTGTGTTTTAAGATGGCAAAAAAAAGATGAGGAAAATTTATTACATGAACATTAAATGTTCCTTTGAACTGTGGCTCACGATACAGCACAGAATAATTTCCGTGTGAAGTCATATCTTAAAGAGCAATCCAGTTTTTAATTCCTGGAGGTGTTTTCTAAATCTGCAAAATAAAATAGCTATCCAATAGAAGAAGTCTGAAATTGCAAAATAAAGAGTTTAGGTAACAAGTACTCATGGATAAGCTCATACCCTCATGTGAAGTACATATTTGTTTTTCTAGGTTTAGGGGCTCTACTAATTTCCAGTGCAATATCACTTATTATTCTCAAATGATATCTCGTTCCGTGTTGCAGCTGCACAACAAGGCATAAATTCTAACCTTATACCACTCATATAGTATAGCTCTGTATAGTCACTATTTCCATTAATTAACACAGGTCAATCTGCAATACAAAAGAAATGAAAAAAAAACCACATAAGGCATCTATAAAGTACATGTAAAATTACTGAAAAAGATGACATTAAAGTCTACAAACATAATACACCTTCACTGTCTCTCATATTTACCTACCACTTTCCATTCATAGTATTAGTTTTAATGGAAAAAAAAAACCTAAGAAAATATTTTGTTATTTAACCAGAAGAAAAAAAGTTGCTTGATCCAATGCAAGGATCAACCAGGCAACGGCTACAGTTTTCAGATTGTTCAGAGCCACCCCCGAGTTCCTGATGCACTGTCACTAGATGCAAAGAACATGCTGATGCTCCCAAATTTAAAAGAATCCTGAATTGTTTTAGCTGCCACACAAAAAAACCCCATCACTCAGTATCACCTTACACAGAGAATTTCTGTGCACATCCGTACGTGTTTAAAGCCAAATAAACAAACAGTGGGGCCAGTGTGCTCCACTCCTGTGGGGTGGAAAGAAGCACCACCTGAACATTGTCTCTGGCTAATGCCACTAACTCAGACATCACTTCGGTATAATGGTCAGTTCTGCCCAGACCTGTACATGGAAGTATCCGATGAGGAGATTATACAATTATCAACAAAAAAAAAAAAATCCATCCACGCTACTACTACTGATTGGGACATTAGTACTATTAATCCACTTACAAGCTAACAGAAAGTAAAAGTTTCCTGTAAAGTTCTAAACTTAAAATTGAGTCAGGAAAAAAGCAAGAATGTAATGTCACAAGTCATCTAAAAGTTTCCTGTAAAGTTCTAAACTTAAAAGAGTCAGGAAAAAAGTAAGAATGTAATGTCACAAGTCATTGGACAGTCTTTTGAGAAAAGAGCAATTCAGTCATTTCCCTATACCCACCAGCTTTAATGCTAGTAACGGAAGTACAACATAATTAACTCAAGTTTTAAAGTAGCAGAACACGCTTCAGGCATGCCTAAGTAATAAAAAAAAAAAAATATTAACTAATACGCAATCTAAAAAAATTATTTTTAACTAGCAATAGCTTTGTTTGGATACAAATTCATGGACCTAGAATAGAGTGGGTCCAGAGAAAGGGCCACAAAATAGCCAGAGGACAGGCTGAGAGAGCTGGGGCTGCTCAGCCCGGAGAAGAGAAGGCTCTGGGAGCCCTTAGGGCAGCTGATCAATATGTAAAGGGTGCCTGTAAGAAGGACTCTGTACCAAGGTCTGCACTGACAGGAAAAGCCAGACAGGATTTACACTGAAAGAGGGCGAGGTTTAGAAGGAAGTAATTTTTTCCGACGAAGGTGGTGACACATGGGAAGGGGGTGCCCGGAGAAGCTGCGGATGTCCCATCACTGGAAGGGTTCAAGGTCCAGGCTGGATGGGGCTGTGAGCAACACGGTCTAGGGAGAGATGGGCCTTCCCACGGCAGGGGGCTGCCCTACATTGTCCCTTCAAATATAAATCATTCTGTGATATTTGCCAGCTCTCACAAACGATTTATAAGTAACTCCTAAAGCTAGACTCTCATTTCTGTTACAGACTAAATGCCACATGTATGTTTAAAGGCAAAATACATGTTTGTATCTTCTTTGTGAGTGCCAGTGCACACTACTTGTCTTCTTGTAACTAAGGGAGTACAGGGTTTTACTGCATTAATTTAACCGGATTTTTAAGTCATCCTATATTATTTTCTTTTGTTTTACCTCCCCACCATAACTCCATGACAGCAATTTGTTTGGATGCTTTAATTGTGCACTTCCATTCCTAAATATGCTTAGACTTCTCATGCATGTAAGCTTCCACTTCATTTAGGGGGGAAAAAAATCTCAATCTGGGTACAGTTTGGTCTTTAACAGCCCTCTAAATTACCCACAGGGATTCTTGTACATCAATACTACAGCAGAGAATTAGAGACAGGCTGCTTCATGCCATGCAAACAATATAAAGCAGAGAACAAATAAATGTTAGTTTCATTCACTTCTCCCCTTCAAATTCTCTCTTTGCCTTCTTGCTGCACATTATGCTTGGTACTTTCCTTTCTGTATGCACATACACAACCAGAGACATCTATAGCAAGGGAGATCCCTCTCCTATCTGAACGTATCTACCACGATAGGCACTTTTCTAGAAAGAGCTATTCTGCGATAACAGCTATTTTTGCAGGCATTCTTCTGTCAGATGCACTTTCAGTTAGGAAGAGGCTGCAGGATGCAATTTTCTCCTTGAAAGAAATGTTTCAAGAATGGCTCTTTCAAATCGGCAACCGTATCTCCTTGTGGGAGAGAAGTCAAGCCGCTCGCACTGAAAAATGGGGCCAGATACACCGTTAAAATCGGGAGGAATGTAGAGTTCCACTGAGAACAAATAGGAGAGATAACAGTTGTGAGAAAGGCATCGTTTTATTTCTGTACCCTTTGTAGCTTTAGCCCTACTGAGCACAACAGCAGGTGGCAGTCAAATCCAAAGAGGATCATTCTGGCAGGAATTCTGCAGGAAAGAACATTATGCTCCAGAATTAACACAGAAAAAAAGTGTAGCAAAGATAGAAACAAGCGACCACATCAGCTGTGGAATCTTGTGTAATACCTACCACACACGAGACTTCAGGGGAAAGCTCCTGAAATCAGTAAAGCAGTTAAAAAATAAAATCCTTCCAGGGTTTTGCAGGACCGTTTTGCAAGCAACTTTAAACGTGATACCCTGTGGCTTTGTTTTTATTTTGTAATTATTGTGGGGTTTTGCATTCTAAGAAAATCCATCTACACAGAGAGTAAGAGCTATACTAGGTTAAGTACGTGGCCACCCACTCACAGAAGACAGGCTGATTCTTCAATGCAGTTTGTAGCTTAACAAGCAGTTCTGTAAAAAGCAGCTTTATTGCCTGTTTTTAAGTGAGGTCTGAAGGATAAGCTAGTTAAGGGAAATCACAGACTTGATTTTGGGCTTGCCTTTTCAACTAACAAAGCCTAACCAACTCTAGACAGCGGATGCGAAGCACCTGGAATCATTTTGGAAAGGTGGGGGGTTTTTGTTTCTTCGGTTGGTTTGGAGTCTTTTTGTTGGGTTTTTGGGGGTGGGTTTTTTTCTTTTTGCACCAAGTCCTGGCTTGTTGAGTCTCACCCAGGTGCTCAAAGTTACATACAATAGAATACAATCCAGGACCCTGGAACACTGAAAAGGAGTTTAAAAAAAACCCAACCAAACATCCTGAAAAATTGAACATGCAATACAGAAAACAGCTATCACATCTGAAGTTATTCCTACCAAATAACATTGTTCAGACAGGGAAAGTGGAAAGCACTGCAAAAAGTGTCTGTCAACAGCTTCTGCCCATAAACCTCCGAACAGGAACAGCTCCAGAGGCACAAAAATTCCTTTGCACCTATGCTGTACCCAACGTGTGCGAAAGCAACTCTGCTTCCAGTACATCTGATCTAGAAATTGCAAATACTTGACTCCAAAATAACTTAAGGAAATGCTTAAACTAAATAGAAAGTTCTGGTATTAATAACTGGATGTAAAAATAAGGCAGGAAAACCAACATCACATATAGAAAATAAGAACTTTTAAATTGCCAATGGCAGAGCTGTGTAACCAGTAAAATTCTGATTCTATTTGTCTATTAGACTAAAGCCACAGAGGTCTATTATTCTAAGACTGATACAACTATACTGAAAGCAAGAACTGAAAGGCTTATTACTGAACTTTCAACATTTAAGTTCAAAAGTGAATCTAACACCACTTAAGATACACGTCACTGGCTTTCTATGCTATTTCGCCAAGTATGATGATTAAACTTTGGAAGACTACGGGCAATTCAGCAACGATGGCAGTTAAAAAAACTGAAATATCCAAAGTAACATAGTAAAGATCATACAAAACAAAACCAACACAGATTGAGATTTTAGTGCTCTAAGGAAAGACATTCACTTCTCAAATAAGGTTTTTAAAAGAAAGTATCTAATCTCTATTAACTGCACTATGAACAATATTATTAATCTCTATTAACTGTACACTGGGCAGAGTAGGAAATGAATCTGGTCTGCGATTCCACTTGTTTCAGAAGATAAGGATTTAGTGTAACAGAAAGAAGGATGGAAGAGGAATGTAACTGAAAGTTGTTCAGTAAGCAGGCTCGTCACTTCTGCACTAGCAGTAATTATATCCACAGCATTTCAGTAGCTGTCTAGCCAAGTCACAAAAGCACTCAGAACTCAATATTGCCAACTTCGACCTGAGTCACCGGGAACTGCCATATCTGCAATGTGATAATACAGATGGAACAGGTTATCCTACCTCCTGAATTCGCCTGAGGTATCCAAGTTTCCCTGGTTTTAACATTACCAAACTTAACTAGTTGGAGATGAAGCACTGCATACCCCATGACTTCCCTCAGCAAAGCTGCAGTGCTAAATAACCCAAAAAATTGGATTCCAATGCAAATTATTGAACAGTGAGAAAGAATATTTTCTTTTTCCATGAAAGTTTCACATCTTGTACAAGAGAAATGACATCTGGGAGACAGGTGAATGTGTGTGGGGGACATACCAAGTCTCCAAGGCACTGTAATAAATAGATGTTCAGTGAGGATGAGATGTTTCAGGTGTTTCTTGAGCATCTATTGGACTCTCAAAGGTGGCCAGGCTGCAAACAAACCATCCCACCAAGCCCAAGTTAATAAAGCACAGAACTTCTTACGTGTAGCAGGAAATACATACGGGATGGACACAGACGGGGGGAAAAAAAAAAGGGAGATGCAAGGAAATTAAAGTAGGAGACCACGAAAATTCTGTTCAAGACTGAACAAGCAGAACGACACTGAACCAATTTCCGTTACACTTCTCCTCTGCTGCCACTAAGCACATGGAAGAACAGAAATCTCAGTGTTTCCAAAGAGAATACAAGTCCAAAACGAAATCTTGGTGTTTCCAAAGAGAACACAAGTTCAAGGTGATCGTGGCAGACATCTGTACGGATACAAGATCTCACTTGGGATGAAGATAACCCAAAAGAACGTAATGCCTGGGTTTTCCATTCTGTCGACAGGAAAAAGCCCTTGGGAATTCCATTCCGAGGGACTAAACAACGGTAGCAAAGTGAAGCCTTGAAGTGACCGTAATAATTAAGATTATGCAATTTACTCTTGATTAGCTATCCAGTATTTTCTCTTACCTTCACTGGCTACCGAAAGACCCTACAACCTTTCTGGTGCATATCATGTCAGTTTATTCTCATTTAGTTTCTTCATCAGTATTTCAGCAGTGTTTATCACTACAGCACTTTGGTACTTCACAAACACGCCTTCCTATTACAATATCCTGCATAAGAAAGCAAAAGCGGAGTTTCCATTGTGCTAAGAGGAAACTAATTACAGAAAAATAAAGATATTCGTAACTTTTTATTTCTAGATCGAGTCACAGGTTCTTCAGAATACCTAATATACACACTTTTATAGATCATTACACATTTTAAATGGAGCTCTACTAACCTCGGTTGTAATAATAGCAAATAATATTTATGCACCTAAGCTCCACACTCAACATCAAAAAATCCAAACATTTCCAAATGTGTCTAGAAATTTGAGTCTATGAGACTTGTGGCAGAAGTGGTGACAGAATCCATTTCTTCAGCGCAGCATTCAGCTACACTTTTCTTAGCTGCACTGAGACAAAGAAGCAGCCCTTTAAATTCACACATTATTCTTGCTCAGGGACAACACTACATTTCTCTGCATCATTTCAACTGCAGTATGTGAGCTGCCAAAACTGACCGACTCCATCGATGAGAGACAAGTGGTAAATTCTTGCTTTGGAATCCTGCTGGGAATTACTCTAGAACTACAGACTGATTTCTGACATCACTGTATCTCCAGCTGCTCTTGCTAAAGGAAAAGAAAAAAAAAAAACACTACCAAAAAAAACAAAGTATGGTCCACTTAACTTAAAAGCAAAACTTCAGATCATTGATCTGTGTCGCGAAACTTATTATTAAAAAAAATCTTCAGTCAAGTATATTATAGTACCATCAAGTCACATATTTTTATGCTCTGACTCCAAAGGGACAGGTTTTTGGATTGATCCCACACTAGGATTACATGACATTCTTACTGAAGGAATTTTTTCAAGATGTTTACAAAACACAGAAAAATGCAGTACTTTAAAATATGGCATCACTACTTCCTGTTAAGTATAAACAGAGACACCATCAAAAAGTTACTTCATTTAATACCAACATAAAGCCCACAGGCCTGAAAACTATTAAGAAAATTTACAAGAATACAGCAGTTCTAAAATCAGTTTCCCTAAAGAGATGTCAGAAGGATGAGATCGTTAAAGTGTAAAAAGGTACTAATTGCATGTTGGTGTGACCTAAATCCAAAAGAAATTAAGTCCACTGAAAGTAAGGGCCGTATCTCCTGTGGATTTTTTTGGTGGAAATGGAGGTTGGGTGGTTACAAGTATCTTCTGTAATGAACCAAAATGTACTAAGTCATCAGGACTCTGAATACAAAGATTAAGAAATGCTGATCTCTCATTCTCAGAAATCTGAGGGGACAATGAACATGTGTCAAATCTTAAATGTTCACGTCTCAGTCCCTCTAGACTTGCACAAGATTGTCTACTCGCACGTCTCACTTCGCATCCTAAACCTCATACATATGGATGCAACAAAATCAACAGGGAGTAAACAGCTTCAGAATTCTTTTAATTCAGTATTTAAACAGGCCTTTAAGTTTCAATTCTGTTTTGGTTTTGTTTTTAAACACCTATACGTGAATCCAACTAACATACGCTGCAGAGCTGTGGAATTGCCATACTTAGAGGATTTTTCTGAGTGCGTGAGTAGAATTTAGAGTCACTTCCAATGTAGAAAGATTGTTTCTTCCGTCACACTTATTCCCCTTTGTAAGCAAACTACGCAATGAAATCCTTAATTTAAACAACTACTACACACCGATTTGCAACAGGTTGCAGTCACTGGAAGAATGCAACGTCCCTGACTGCACAAGAAAAACACATTATGCTTTGAAGGCTGATTCCACAGCAAATAAAAAGGAAAATCTGTTTTTTATTAGCAACAATCCAGAATTTGTCAAGTAGAGTTGCCTGGCTGTGTACACACCTACTCTTTATGTATATATAACTTCCAACTTATTAATTTCATTTATATATGTGTGTGGGTAAACAAGTCCCTTTATTTCAGCACTTCTATCCAAATCTAAATGGGCAAGATACAACCAAATTTCAGGCTAAGTTATACCAGTTTTATTTTAAATCAGCACAGATATTCTGTTTCAAATATCCTGAAACTGTTCATTTAATCTGAATTACACCTAAGAAATGTTTTTTTCTTTCAACTTACGAGGTTATATGTTCAATAACTTTCTAATTGCCAATTTTCCCAAACCCTTCCAATTTTCTATCACACCGAAACTCTTTGAATAAAGTGTAAAATGTCAAATTCTGCCGCTGTTTCAATGTTTTCACTAAATTTTAAACTGTATTAAACTGAACCTGAATTTCTACTGTGAGTGATACAGTTTCTGAAATGTAAAACTGAAGCTATATGAGATACAGAACACAAAACTGTAATTAGAAGAATATTTGTAAGTAGAACTTAAGTTTTTCTAATATGCTTGTTTCAATTCAGTGTTGCTTTTTTAGGGGAAAATCCATCCAACTTGCTCAAAATGCAATTGAGATTAAAATACTCTCAAAGTTAGAAACTGAACCCCCACCACATGTAGATCCAACACCCTAAAATTCAAGGAGGACATCAATCACGAATGAATCCTCTGCATTAAGACATAGGGGAGTCGGGTAGCTTTACTCATTATTTTTAATTAATTAATGATTTTTTAAATCAAATAATATATCACTCTGATTTATGCAACCATCTCCTATACTTCATTTCCAATTCTACTTTTTCCCCTTCAAATTCTGCCTGGACTACTATTCCAAAAGAGGGAGGTTTTCTCTGGGAACTAAAAATCATTTCCTTTTATGGCAAATTGTCATTAAAAAAGCAGTGTCCTTACTCAAAGGATCAAAAATCCCCCAAAAGAAAATGAAACAGAAAATGAAAGAAGTTCCCAAAATTCTTGAAACTGGTAAGAGGACATCAGTTTTACTCTCTTAAGTCACGGCAGCCTGCTTCTGCCAGACCAACTGAGAGAAACACGTCCAAGCTTGTGAGAGAAAAAAAACAAGGAGCATTAGGGCATATCTTTAATGCTGGAGAAATGATTATTAATCATTTTTAAGTTCATTCTTAAGCAGGAGCTTGTCAGATGTTAAAAGCCAAGCCTTCAAACAGAGACAGGGAATATTTTTACAGTTGACACACTCACATGAGAACACAGATCTGAATCCCCAGTGCAGAAATAACCAAGTGAAGTTACCGGACAAGCTGTCATAAAGCTTCCCTCACATCTAACACACCCTGTTCCTCTTTGCTTACTTCCCCCAGCACACGCCACAGACCGTCCAACGTGCAGTTTATTCACAAGCGTGCTCCTACCCCTTCTCCGCCTTCCCTCCACTACAGCTACATTTATTAATTTCATTTTGGCATCTTGTTTACTTTCAGTTTCCGTGCATGTTCACTGCAGAGAAGAGAAATCTGCACACACAGAAAAGACTGTCGAACAAAAACGCTCCAAGGCAAGGACTTCATTCCCGTATGAAAAGCACACACCCCTCTGCAGAGCTACCTGAACGGACACCTTCAGTTTGCCTATGGTAAAAACCAATAAAAACCCAAACAGGCTGGCTTTCTGCTTAATGTTTTCACTCACCGAGTGGAATTAACCTTGAGAAACGTTCTTAAATCCACCACAAACTATTATCCAGACCGATTTAAGCCAAAATGGCTTTAGAATACTTGTTATCAGTACTAAATGCAGCGAGCATTTCAAAAACCATCTCTACACTGAAGAAACAAAAAACAATCGCTATAGGTGAGGCAGCCAGCACAGAAGCTACACAAACGCTTCTGCCAAAACTTGATGATACTGAGTTTTCTGCTGAGAAAAATTAACTGCAACTTAAGGTTTTCTCATCCATAACGTAAGAATTTCCAGTTATACAACCGAGCCATCAGACTGCAAGTGGCTCCAAGCCCAGGCAGCTCATTCACAGCGTTCCGCCTCCCCTACGATTTTAAATGAGCAACCACAAACCACAGATGAGAGATTTCTGAACCGAGGAGACGAGGAAGCATATTTACCTGAAGCATCTCCAACTTTAAAATCACTGTCATCAGAGCTATCATAATCTAAAGCTTCCAGCAGCGAAGCTGCCAAAGGCTTCACTTGCCTCCTCTTCGAACTGCGGTCCACTGCGGGAAGAAAAACACAGGCTGGTTACCGGGGGGGAAGAGGAGACTCGAGCACCCTTAAACACACTGAAA